GTCCCCTCCCCCCGCGCACGCGCACACGTATATGTGGTGGCGCTGAAACGAGTTTTAAAGTCTGGGTGCAAGAACACAAAAAACTTTAATTCGACTGACCCTCACAAAAACTGTAAAGTTTTAGTGGCTAAATTGTGTTTTCTGCGCCTTTTCACACAGGAGGAGATTTGTTTGGCTATGCCTAGAAAACAACGTTGTTACTAGTGTGGAGACCGTCAGAGTTTTACCAAGGACAAAAATTCCACCTCCAGCTGCCTGCCCATCTCATCCATTTCTGTTGCAAAAATTAGTGTATTGTCTAAGTGAATAGGGTATAGGTTAATTAATGTGCACACACCGTCTTTCTCATTCTCATAATGCATCCATGCCTCCAGGTATAACCCATTCAAATGTCATGTAGCCTAACTTTTTATACAATTTAGACAGCACAGAATCATTAACCTACTCTAACGCATTTATTTATACAACCACATATTTCCCACATTTTGACATCAGTGATGCAGTGAAGATAGTCTCTTTATTTCTTGACGCCAACCCTCCCCATTAATCCGGGCTTGGGACTGGTGTTCTGACAAAACGTCCTACTTTATCAAAACATCCTACCATAGTGCTAATGGATAGCCCTAACCCTAACCCCACAAAATCCCTAAAACCCTTACATTAACCCTAACCCTAACCCCTAAAACCTAACCCTAATCCCAAAACGGTGGCACTGCACATGCGCAGAAAGGCTCGATAGCATGTCTCGAGAGGTAGGATGTTTTGTCAGAACACCGGCACCTAGTTGAGCTAGCTTGCTCCCTTAAGTCGCTGGGTTAGGCTAAACTATATGCATATTTACAAAGACAACAATAAAACATCCAGAAATAAAACGTAGTTTAAAGAAGGTAGCCTACCTGGCGAAATTAAAAGGGCCACGGCATATAATCGGGCTATATCCAACAAAAAGCAGTTTTTAAGAACGTAGCCTACATGGCGAAACTGCAAACAAACAGAAGGCCTGCGGCATGCGCAAAGTTTTTTTATTCTACCCATCATGCACTGCAGTTTTTTTGCAAATTCCTCAAACGGAAAACCATTAAGTACAAAAGGAACAGCTTAGTTTGACTTCAAAACATTACTATGTATTATATTTTAAGTTTCTTGTAGGGATTTTTCAGATTTTTTTTATTCTTTTTTAAATAAAAATAATAATAATATTACACCATACCCCCACCATAATAAGAATGTATAGCAAAAATGACAGATATATAAAATCGCAAGTCAAAACTAAAAATTGGATAATATATTGTTATTGTCAAGAGCTTTGTAAAAATTACATTAGTATAATTTTGTGTGAATTTATTATGTGAGAAGGCTTATGGCTGGGGGGAGGGCCCTTGGCCGTTCCCTCCACCTCTGTACCATCCCCAAACTGTTCACACAAAGTTGGGAGCATGAAATTGTCCAAAACGGCTTTGAATGCTGCAGCATTAACCTCCTGAGTCCTGGACTTTTGTTTGGTGTGCATGTTTTATTTCCTTTAGCTATTTGGAATTAGTAATTAGTCTCATAATCATAAAAACCAAACATAATATTTTTGAACAATTAATAGTTTTAAACTAAAAATTATGTCCTTATATGAGGACGTAGGGTCTCAGGAGGTTAAGAGTTCCTTTCCTTTAGAACTAAGGGGCTGACCCCCAACCCCTCAAAAATAACCACAGACCATAATCCCCCCTCCACCATACTTTACACTTGGCACAATGTAGTGAGGCAAGTACTGTTCTCCTGGCAGCCACCAAAACCAGACTCGTCCAACGGACTGCCAGACAGAGAAGTGTGATTTATCACTCCAGAGAACTCGTCTACACTGCTCTTGAGTCCAGTGGTGGTGTGCTTTACACCACTGCATCCGACGCTATGCATTGCATTTGGTGATGTAAGGCTTGGATTCAGCTGCTCGGCCATGGAAACCCATTCCATGAAGTTCTTTATGCACTGTTCTTGAGCTAATCTGAAGGCCACATGAAGTTTGGAGGTCTGTAGCTATTGACTCTGCAGACAGTTGATGACTTCTGCACACTGTGAACCTCAGCATGTGTTATCCGTGCTCTGTGATTTTACGTTTTATTTTCACTTCATGGCTGAGTTGCTGTTGTTCCCAATTGCTTCCACTTATAATACCACTAACAGGTGACCGTGGAATATTTAGTAGCGAGGAAATTTCATGAATGGACTTATTGCACGGGTGGCATCCGATCACAGTACCACGCTTGAATTCACTGAGCTCCTGAGAGAGACCCATTCTTTCACAAATGTTTGTAGAGGCAGTCTGCATGCCTCGGTGCTTGATTTTATACACCTGTGGCTATGGAAGCGATTGGAACTCCTGCATTCAATGATCTGGAGGGGTGTCCCAATACTTTTGGCAATATAGTGTATATCCCACCATCCAGTTTTGTGCATTTGCCGTTTCAGCCTGGAAGAGGCACAGGGGCCACATAATTAACAATATCTCAAACCCTGTCACATTCATTACAGTGATATATTGCAGTATAGCAATGTCCTTTTCATTCTCCATCATCCCGCCTATCTGTTTTACACACAGCAAAAACTGGCCTTTTTGTCATCAATTCTAATTCCCTTTCATTTTCTCAACAGGCAATTGCCTGCATTGGTTATTTACTGGGTCCCACACAGAACGAATGACAGACCAAGGCATTATTGGTGAACAATGTTCATCCCGGTATCTTGCACACATCTGGCTCCCAAACAGATGTGACACCCCCTACTGCACTCCCCCTCTTTTCTTCTGGCTCCAGTGGGCCCGTGGAAATGTAATTACTGTGCCAGGCCTGTTATTTTGAGACACCACAATAATTTGAACTAATGCAATTTGTCCCAGTCCTAGCAGCATGGATACACAGATCCTGTTGGCTGGTAATTCATCTTAAACGTGGTTCAGGGGTCAGAATTTATGTTGAAAGGCATAAATCTATTTCCTTTATTTTGGGCTGCAGATGTGCTACTTACCAAAGCATCCTTTGATAGCCCATAATAAACCTGTCACTGATCCACAATGACTCAAACATTTTTTTTTTTACTCTTTTGTGTAATAACCACATGGGTAGGTAGTCAAATACTTCCAGTGGTAATCAAGAAAAAATACTTATACCCTCACTGACTATACTAGACCAGTATCAAAAATTTTTTAGTACAAGCATGGGAGAACAGTGTAAAACAGACACACGAAAAGGACCAAGCCTTAACACCAGCACAGGGAAAAATATTGGTTTTGACAGGTACAAATGTGTTTCTGATTTTATGATGTCCAGCCTGACTGGCTGAAATATAGCGCTGTAGATTCATAATCCCTTCGCTACGTAGTAGCTTAACCCAGGATCCTCTGGTAGCCTCTGATGTACCATAAGAAAAATAAAAATAATAATAATAAAAAAAGGCAACGACAAAAAAACATAACTGCTTATCCAATACAGGGTCACGCGGAGCATAGAAGGTGTCCCAAAGGGCACAGGTCAGGGGACACTGTGAACAGGCCAGTCTATCACAAGGCACACACTCTCTCACACATCCATACACCATCACATCAAAAAGTTTGGAGACACAAATCTTAATATACAGATGGAACCCACACAAACGTTAAAGTATATAAAATCCTCACAAACTGAAAGCCTGGGGTCATATATTCAGCTTCAGTATTTACAAATGAAACAAATAATAATAATAATAATAATTTAAAAATCAGATAGATTAAATCAAATAGAGCTGTTTCCACTCTTAAAACTATTTCTGACCGTTTTTTTAGGTGGACTGTTAATATTATATGAAGACAGATCATTATTTGCAATGCAATTTGAACCTAGGCTATTGTTATGGCGGAAGAGTCCAGAACTTATCCTTTTTCCCCCCAAACAATAGGGGGAGCTTGGCTAGTGTTGAAAATATACCAGGCAAGTAAACTTTCCTGTTTGGAGGACGCACGATCGCCAGTAACTTTTTAGACGCGGTTCGTTTTGGTCTCGGTGTTGCGCCCTTATTTGCCCCGGATTCAGCGTCGCATTGCCCAGTTCTGCGCTTCCAGTTTGATTGTGTGGTTAAGCTAGTCCCGATGCATTTCCTGCTTTTGCTTTCAGTAGCTAAACAGTTGTTTAACTATGCGGTTTAATTATCAGGGCGTACCGCCGTCAGTAACTCTCCACTGGTAAGTAGCTGGCCGGTTAATCTGCGATCGATGCTCCGGCGACACACGCCGGTGCCAGCATTTCCCTGTTTCTCCCTATGCTTCATTTATTTAACGTATATAATGCATTTTCTAGTGTAGGTGATAGGCGGCAATTGACATGTTACCGAGCGTTTTACGTGTTGATACTCAGCTTTCATTGTGAAGGTTGGCCGACGAAAAATCCTGGTTAACGTGATAGCTAAGCAACAGAACCAGGCGATTCTGGGAATTTGTAGATACCCGGGGTTTTGATAGCCTGCAGTGTAACAAAACAAGTATCCACACTTTAATAAATGCTATTCTGCATTTGAAGGCATATTAAACCAGTTACTATATCATAATGAAATACGTGGAGCGAACCATTTAAGAAACTTTAGAGGGGGGTATATGTGTTTCAATGGGACGTTGCTCGGGAATTGTGTAGGGTGGTATTTTTTTAAAAGTACTGGATAACACATTAATTATATACGTTTTGATATATTTAGAAATTCACGAGATTGCTTTTAGAAAACGGTTTTTACTTTCCTCAGTCGTCGAAGTGGCCCGCTGCCCTGGTTAGGGGGATGCCGGGAGAGTGAGTTTTGGGAAGTGGCGCGTCCTGCGGCTTTATTTACACAAGCAGCTGCCGACGCTTGTAGAGTCTAACCGTAGTAAATAATATAGGGCGGTTAGGATTCGCCAGTGCGCTTCCTGATGAATTAAGATGTATATGTCAGTGATACACAAAAGTATATATTAACACCAGTGTGTGTGTGTGTGTGTGTGTGTGTGTTTTTTTTTTAAAATAATAATTAAAAAAAAATGTTTCTCTTGATTGGTGCTTTCAATACAGAATGACAATTTTTAAATGCAAATTCAGTGTTCTTTTATTGATAACCCTCGTTCTCTTGGATCTCTGTCATTTGATTTGAATGGCTTTTTTCTGTTTGTAGCATATTGGTCAGTTGCGTGTGTACAGCTACATTGCTTTGAGTGCCAAGATGTTCAACGATTTGTTTACAATAAAATGCCTGATTCCATATTTAAACTTTATGTAATTATCTTTGAGTGGCCTGCTGGGCAAAGCTTTTTCAATACAGTTTGTGCAGCTTTGTTGTATTTTGCACGGCGGTTATGGTACAGCCTGAGCTTTTACATGCTGTTAATGTTTTACCAGTGTGTTCCTGGCTGTTGCGGTGTGCCTGCCCCTCAGGTGGCGTATGCCTGGTTTTGCCTGAGACAGACAGTGACACTGACCCTAACAAAATACAGGAATCTGCTTCGTCTGCTGTAGAAAGCAGATGTGCTCCTTCCATTTACAAGCTTTGGAGCCAGTCTTAGTTTTAGTTCCATTCCTTGCTACTGGTCTCAGTTTAGTGCTGTGCTTTCTGGATGCCTTATATATAACTGCATATCATAAATTACAGTTATCGCTGTACTGAGAGCCTTCTTGAAACAGTGATAAAAGCTGAAATGGCACAGTATTTCTTTTCTCAAACGCATGCCGACATTCTGCAGATGTGAAAAGTCCCATAATACAGCATAATAATTTGCTAATTAAAATGCATCTCTTTGTTAATGTGCTGGGGTTTCTTCTGAACTGCTGTTTAACTGACTCGCAGATCTTGCATATTTAACTAGTCCTGTTCTTTTTGCATGTGCAGTGTGTGAGTCATTCACCTGGTAATGTATTCTGTTTATACCTTGTGTAAATTGTCAGTTGCATAACAATTTTTTGCAAGTTCCCCTTGCATGTCACAAATACTAGTTATCAGCAAATACATGGAAGCTTTTTTTTCCCCAAATGTGACAGTGCTAAAATTACTGTTTTTGAACAGTTCCATTCTTTATTAAAAATATTTATTCCTGTATTTATTTAAAAATCTTGCCACCTGTCACTTGAGTATATGTAAAAGCTTAAGTCAATTGTACTTAAGCATTGGGGAGGGGCTGGGGGAGGGCTACCACTTTAATTGAAAAGCTTTACATATTCTAGTTGGTGGATCAAAGTGTGATTGCGGCCAATAATAAGGCTCGCTCCCAGCCATTGGCTTGCCTTCAGATTCACACACGGAGGTTTACAGTTTCTAGTGCGACTATTCATTCAACTCGGGCAATCAGCGAAACGAGCCCCGCGCCGACTGACCGAGGCAGCCGCCGCTGGCTGGGTCCCTGGGAACCGTATCCCTGCAAAAGTAGGGCTGCCAGCATCAATGCAGCAGCACTAAATCTAGGTCTGTCAGGAGAGCGAGCGAGCGAGAGAGAGAGAAGAGAGGGAGGCAGAGGGGAAAGAGAGCGGGCGAGCGGGCGATTGATCCATTTTAGCAACTTGCAGTAATGGAGAGCAAAGTAGGCCGTCATGCACCGGATCAAACTTGAAAGGAGAAGCCCAGAATCGTCTGCGCAGATCTAGCTGTGAGGAAGAGGAAGAAGGGAGGAAGTCAACGTGCCAGAATCGGCTAAATCACGGGAAGGATCTGGCAGCTTTACCGTCGGCCTGTGCCCGCCATCCCGTCGGACTTGTACTTCCTCTGAGTTTCTTCTCCTCTTGACCCGCCACTGCTAGGCAGGGAAACACACTCATGGTCGATGCCAAGGGGAGGAACATGAAATGTCTGACTTTCTTCTTGATGCTTCCAGAGTCGGTGAAGATCAGGTCAAGCAAAGGTGCCAAAAAGGGGAGCCCGAGTCACTCGGACCTGCCACCGGTCTGCTATGAGATCATCACCTTGAAGACCAAGAAAAAGAAGAAGATGGCTGCGGAGATCTTTCCCGGCAAGAAGCTAGCGACGGCCGACGCGGTCCAGCAGTACCAGCAGCAGAACCTGAATAATAACAACACGGTCCAGAGCTGTAACTGGCAGGGACAGTTCCCCACCATAAGAGAGAGGTAGGTGAGCTTCCATTTGTGGGTTTTGAGCGTGTGCCCGTTGGGTCACCTCAGTCGGGCTCAGTTGGATATTCTGGGATGTGGACAGATGCATGAGCGGCGTCACGTTAGATTTTGCCAGCGGTCAGCTTTGCGGCGCTATTTGCATGTGTTATACCGTTATGTAACTGCAGGACAAGTTCACTCATAAAATAATTAAATAAAATCCTGTGTTCATGGGTTGATACATCTTCCTAAAAACTTATGCTGTTTGGGAACCATCCCTCTGATTAATCTCAAGGTTCACTGGTTGGTTCTGGATATTGCGCCCCGTGCAGGTACGTTCTCGTGCCACCGCAGCGCAGAGACACTCTCGAGTTACAGAGTGGCCTCATTGAGCCATGGGATTGGGGGGAGCCGGGGGGGGGGGGTGTAGGCACGAGATGTCAGGGCAGCACAGTCCTGCTTCTGGGTAAATATTTGTGCTTTTTTTTCAAAGGGAAGCCCCTTGCCGGCGAAGCAGATGTGCTTCTGCCTTTGTTGTACATCCAGAACGTCGCAGCCTGTTTACCCAGCTCTCCTGAGCATTTTACTCAGTGGTTTTGTAGTTGTTATGGTGCTCTGGCTTTGATGGCTTCCTCTTCTAAAAAGCTTTGATATCGCCTTTTTTTTTTTTTTTTTTTTTTTTTTTTTATAAGACAATAGCCTGACGTCTTATCATTTTTCCCCCCAGTTACAGCAGTACAACACTTTCAGTTAGTCGGAATCAGTGCCTTAGGCTTTGGGCATCAGACAAATTAAATTTTTCTGCATGCGCTAATATTTATTTTTTGTTAGAATACTTCTGTCGGTGTAGAATCCTTAAGAATGATGGACTTACCTCCACAAAGCCTGGCTGGCGTCTTGCAAACGCAGTGTCAGTATTAACAGATTAAAGTGTGCCGGTTTGTGATTGGCCACGTGACGTCTGTCGGTCGCAGTTGGTCTCACCCACCACAGAACCGTTAGCCTGTGTCTCTGCAGTGAATCATTTGTGAGGATGTTGGTGTTGCCGTGTGTCTGGGCTCATATTTTCAGGAAACAATTAGTCAGATAGATGTGGAAATGGACAAAAATATATTATTGTGTCTATGCTCTTAAAAAAAAAATTGTTGGCTCAAAAAAAAAAACAAATTACAATTTACATGCTTTTTAAACAAAGTTATTCCGGTTTCAATTATCCAGTAAACTATATGAATATTTTAAAGTTAGACTAACTTAAATATTTCAATAAAGCCACAACTATCTGCTTTTACTTCCAAACAGTTTACATCACTACAACATTTGAATGGATGTTATGTCCTCATTATTTACTTAGCTGGTCTAACATGTTTATTTTGCTTCCATCTCAGGGAAGTTCTTCGTTAAGTCAACCGCATTTCTGGTACCAGAAGGTGTCGGTTTATCACGATCCAAAAAAAAAAAAAAAAAAAAAAAAGAAACTGGGGCTGAATAACTAGAAGACCAGATTTCAGGAAAGGTCGAGGTCTTTTTATTGAGTTCTTTGCACAACTAACACAGATACTCAGTAAACCCCAAGGCGCATGCAACCCAGAAACACGGGGAGGTCTGACACTGGACTGTAAAGTTACACACACAGTGGGTAAGTTATACAACGGTAATTATATGCGAGGATCGGACAGGGGTCACATAAGACATGGTCAAACACACAGGACAGTTGGGAAATATAACATATTAACGAAATAATGGGCTATGTACAATGTCCCAGCATGCTCAGTGCACCTTGTCGGAGCTACAATATTATAGGGCAGGACTATGTGTGATACTGAAGCTAACCCTGCATCTCATGTGTGTGCATTTCTTATATCACTAGTCAGTTACAATAAGATCATGCTTTTTCTTTCTTTAAATTCTGTACGGAAATTATAGTGCATGGAGTTTTGCTAAAATATAAATTTACCTCCACTGGTTTGGCACTATTGCTGCATGCATTCTCCGAGATCGTAATCATAGTCATTTTCACCCATGCTGTTTAAGTCACTCCTACAGGTTTGTGAGAAATTTGTTGAACTCCTTTTTTGCCCTAGAAATACCCAATATTTATTATGACAAAATAATACTGTGTTGTCCTAGTACTGTATTTCCTGTCATGCCATCCTGATCTTGTTGTATCTGTTCTAACGACCAGATCACAATTTTAGCTTGGGTTTTTCATTTGTCCATGCATCCATTGTGATTACTTGTTATTTTTTTTCTACTTTGTTCATCATTGTTTTCTGATTTGGGAGCTTTTTTCCAAGATGATGGTTGCTTTGTGTTTCCCACCCTAAGAAAGTGTTTCAAGTCCCACTCCAAAGTACCAAAAAAGTACCCCAATTGGTTTGGCACTTTATGCCAAATGCTTGAACTTTTGGTACTGGTGCTTGATGGGAAGTCAATGGAAAAGAGAAAGTACCAAAAGTAGCCTACGGTAGCTGCTGCAGTAGAAAAGCACCCAAAGCTTCTACGCAGTTTAAACTCACTTCCAGAAGTTGCAGTAACTTAGCATTTTTCAGATGTTAAGTGAAGGCAGAAATAATTGCTCAAAATACATATATAACTAAGTTGCGAGAGTGCTCTTTTTATTTTGACCAACTTTTAAAAACAAGTTAACTAAGAGGGGAACATGTAACAAACGTAAAGTTTTATGCTAAGAAACTTCTTTATTTTATTTGTTACTATCCCCTCAAACCCTTTTTTTACGAGTTGCGAGTTAGACCCTAAGGGGGAAATGCTTTGCGATACATGCATGTTCACACAAGGAGTTCCCTGCTCTACTGCATATTATATTTGAAAAGGTTTGAAATGGTAAAAACTCAGTGGTTGCTTTTATTTGGGTTACATATGGCCCTGATGGTAGGGTAACATAAGGCCAACCGAATCACCCCCAGAGTGATGTCTTCACTTTTTTTCCCCTCTTTGTCTCCAAAGCTACAGTCCAAAGGAAGACAAATTTGGGCAGGTCACCATGTTCTCCGCCTAGAGTCCGTTTCAGAGACTCGTTTCGGGTCTGGCTAATGTGGCGCAATGCACTTTTTTTTTTTTCTGCAGGAACTCTGTGATGTATAACAATGAGCTGATGGCAGATGTTCACTTTGTCGTGGGTCCACCTGGAGGAACGCAGCGGCTGCCAGGACACAGGGTGAGCCCGTAAAAATGAGGCGTCCGGTTCGGAGGAAGCATGTTTCCGATGTGGGAGAAAGTAGCAGTGGGATGTTGAGTAACCGATACTTAATGATTTTCTTCATCGTGAGTTATAGAATGCATAATCCTTTATTTTCCCCATGTTGCCACAAGCAACATTCTGCTGTCCGTGTTAATTTAGACGTTACGGTAAAAACATGTGAATCAATAACAGCTGATATTGCTTATAATTCCTTCTGCTTCGGTTTCTGTTTATCTGTACCCTGTTTAAACCCTGCTGTCCTTGTAATGTTCCTTCTGTGTATAAACTCCTTTCCCCATTTTGGGAAGCGTCGTGATTCATACTGAGCTCTAAGACTGAACCAAACCACATGAGGATGTTTGGGGGTCTCTTGTTAGGGATCTGATTTATGAATGGAGCTCAGAAGGTACTGCTATGTTGTCCGACAGAGTTCCATATCCTCCCCCACAGTCACATGACAAGTACTACTAAATATTTTGTAGGTTTGTATTTGTACCGGAGAATGCAAAATAATTGCAAGAATAAAAGGCTGGGAATGTGTGTGTTATTACTAAGAGACTCGTTACTAAGTGAAGCCCCTCCCTTCATGGTCTAATCAAGCCGTTACAGTGCCTCAGCGTGCTCTTAGGTGTCATCTTAACTGTCCTCCGCTCTCTCCCTCTCTCCCCCTCTCCCTCCCTTTTTCCCCTGAAGTATGTCCTGGCCGTTGGGAGCTCTGTGTTCCACGCCATGTTTTACGGTGAGCTAGCAGAAGACCAGGACGAGATCAGAATCCCCGACGTGGAGCCGTCCTCCTTCTTGGCCATGCTGAAGTAGGGCTTGTTTGTGCTCATGCCTTTTGTGTACTCACAGCTCAAATTTGACCTCTTTTATAAAAGACTTGCTGTTTGATGAGTTTTCAAGTAAAATCGTAACTGTTAAATTCAGAAATAAACCCTCTTCTCCAGTAGAGGATTTTTGTAGCAACAGTGCATAACTAGACCACGATGACAATAACGCTTTTGATGTTGCAGGAATAATTGGTGACTGGAGCCAAGCCTGGCCTTCTTACTCGTTGTTATTCCATAAACGTGCCATTAACAGGGGTGGGGAGCCGTGGTACCAATTGTGCTGTGGATATGGGCTGTTTGAAATTAAATGTTTGTAATTTGATTTGCAGTATGGACAACTTCTGTATTTTATTAATGTACTGCAAGGTTAATTCTGAATAAATTATGAATGTGTACAAACATTTGTACGGAGATGGAACACCTCATGATAGAACAGATTTTCACCAGCAACAAGAATATTATTTTACTGGTTTGCAGATTCTTCGTTGGCAGGTAGATTTTTTTTTCTTGTTTTACTGCGTATCAGTAACTTCTGCTCGCAGTCAAAGCCGCCAGGAGCCTGTAAATCCCCATTGTTACGTCATCATTGTTATCCTCTGTTCACCTTGGCGATGTCACGTTAAACGCGATGTTGATGACTCTCTATCAGACAGCTGTTCATTTGTGGACTTTGTCTTAGTCCCGCTCTCTTGATAACCCAACGCGTCGTCTACGTCTGCCTGCCCGTCCCTCATAACGAGCGGCGCTTTTTGCCGTCATCTTAAAAGTGGCCTCCTCTTCTGTGCTGAAAGGCAAGAAGCAACCAAAGGCTTCTGGAGGGAGCTATATCTCCAGGCGGTGTGGGATGGCTTGGAAACGGCAAAACAATTGCGTCTAATAAAACATTGCAGATGGGTGGGGGTGGGAATACCATTTATTAATATTAAATTATGGGGATTACAATTCCTATCAAATAATGACTGTTTACCAAGCATATGAAGCCGGGTGAGATTTGCATAAATATAATGCACTAGCTAATAACGCACTAGCTAATATGAGCACAACAGTGCAACAGGAAATTTGCAGTTGCTATAATAAGGGCCGTCTGCTGCTGCTCCTTAAATGATTAATCCTATGAACGTGCCCATTAAGTAACGGCGATGTCATAGCAGTGACTCTGCACCTGCTACGTAACTTAATGGTACAGTGAGATTTAATTTGGTAGCCTGGAACGTTTTAGTTTGCGTTCTCGGTGTATCTGTCCGATGAACGTCGCCGTCTCCCCTATGCCATATGAAACGTCTTCAGGCATAAATCTTTATATCTTAAGCTGAGCAGCATGGTGGCTCCATGGGTGGCACTGTCGCCTTACTGCGTCAGTGTTGGGGGTTCCTGCCTCCGATCTGCGTTTGCATGTTCACGCTGTGTCGTGCAGATTTCCTCCTGGGAATTCAAATTCCTTCCCGCAGTCAAGAGACCTGCAGGTAGCAGTTGGTATCTCTAAATTGCTCATAGTTTATGTATGTGCTTGTGCCCTGTGATGGACTCATGTTCCAGGATGTACCTCTGCCTTCATCCTGCCTAGAACAGACTTCCGGACCAACCCAGCACCCCCTCCCTCGAGATAGACGCGCGGGCACAAACACACATAACCGTAACCAGAATAAGTTGGTAACTGATAGCTGCAATTGAAATTAGTACTTTTGTTTAAAGAAGAATTCATGTATAACAGTTTTTGATTGAATTATCAATTTCTCCATGTTTTTAAGCAATTTATTTGATTGTAGTTATTGCTTGCAGTACTGGAATGAATCTCTTTGCCCGCAGGTATATTTATTGTGACGAGATAGACCTTTGCGCGGACACAGTGCTGGCGACTCTGTATGCCGCCAAGAAGTACATTGTCCCTCACCTGGCGCGAGCCTGCGTCAACTTCCTGGAGACCAGCCTGAGTGCCAAGAACGCATGTGTGCTGCTGTCGCAGAGCTGCCTGTTTGAGGAGCCTGACCTGACCCAGCGGTGCTGGGAGGTGATCGACGCGCAGGCTGAGCTGGCCCTCAAGTCCGAGGGCTTCTGTGACATCGACTCTCAGACCCTGGAGTGCATCCTTAGGAGGGAGACCCTCAACGCCAAGGAGATCGTGGTATTCGAGGCGGCGCTGAACTGGGCCGAGGCGGAGTGCCAGCGGCAGGAGCTGCCTCCGACTATCGAAAACAAGCGCAAGGTCCTGGGAGATGCCATCTACCTGATTCGCATCCCTGCCATGACGCTTGATGACTTTGCCAACGGTGCCGCCCAGTCTGGCGTGCTCACCCTGAATGAGACCAATGACATCTTCCTCTGGTACACAGCCGCCAAGAAACCTGATCTGCAGTTCGTCAGCCAGCCCAGGAAGGGCCTGGTGCCTCAGCGTTGTCACCGCTTCCAGTCCTGCGCCTATCGCAGCAACCAGTGGCGTTACCGCGGACGGTGCGACAGCATCCAGTTTGCCGTTGACAAACGGGTCTTCATCGCCGGCTTTGGCCTCTACGGCTCCAGTTGCGGCTCTGCAGAATACAGCGCTAAGATTGAGCTGAAGCGCCAGGGGGTTCTGCTGGGCCAGAACTTGAGCAAGTACTTTTCAGATGGGTCCAGCAGCACGTTCCCGGTTTGGTTCGAGTATCCGGTCCAAATCGAGCCAGACACCTTCTACACCGCTAGCGTTGTGTTGGATGGGAATGAGCTTAGCTACTTTGGACAGGAGGGGATGACAGAGGTTCAGTGCGGGAAAGTAACTTTTCAGTTTCAGTGTTCCTCGGATAGTACCAATGGAACAGGTGTACAGGGGGGTCAGATACCCGAACTTATCTTCTATGCCTAATCCATCATCCACATGAAATTGAAGAGGTTAGGTCTATTTTTTTATTTTCATTTATTCTTCTGACACTTGGGGAAATAGTGAATTTCCTATTGTCCTCTGCTGGAAATGTGACAGACCAGTATCAATGAAATTAAGGGTTCTTTAAGACCTTGCTCATTTATCCAACAGGTGACAAGCTACTTCTGTTCCATCGGTCAATTAGAGATGGTCTTCAAACTACTGTACCTTAAGACGTGCATTTTTTTTATGTGCATGACCACTGGCCACATTCATACAGTCTGCATTCCTCTATTGTTATAGAATCACTTAAGGAAGATAACAACACTTAAGAAAGGTAGTTAAATAAAATTCATAGATGTGCCATTAAATGATATTAAGATTTGAAGCACTCAAAACTGTGATCACCTCATTTAAATAAGGAGAAATTGCCACTACCTTTGGTGTCATTTTAATTGTGTATGTATTGTGTGCTTTAACAAGTAGAATAGTTTCTTGGATGTGTTCGGCACAATTTTAATCTTGAGTTCAATAACAGTGTACAGATGTTAATTAAAAAGTGAAAGCAATCATGACCCATAGCAGTAAAGTATTTAACCTATAATGAAGTAGCTATTTGTTCCATCAAAAACATGATATGACTTCCCTATACTCATGTTTGTCCTGATTGTAGTGTAGGATTTAAAGAATCGTCATGGAAACCTTAAAGGGGCTGGTTGAACAGGCTTCAGGCCAGTATTTGCCGCGATTTAAGTACTACGTAGGGTGAGGTCTTTCCTGATAGCTACAAGCTGTTTTGTGGAGCAGTATTTAAACTGGATTATACAGTGGTGCGTAGCAAGGTCCTAATTAAGATGCACCGTGCACCGTTCAGCTCAGTTATTCGCTTCACGTTCCCTGTGCTAGTTTTCTCTGGGAAAGCCCTTGTATGTCAGCAACAGAGGCCCTTTTTACGATAAAATGTTAACAAAAAGCACTACACAGAGAGATAGGAACAGGCTCAGTGTTCAATACAAAATGGATAACTGAAGAACGATTTCATTAAACAGCATTTTCTGACAAAATAATCCATAATTCCAAAATAATCTTCCCGAAAGTAAGTATTTCTAACATCAACTATATTTACACCTTTGTTTTTACTTATAAGATTATATTGGGATAAAACTGGAATGGTAGCAAATGAAATGAACCTTTGCTGTTTTTTTAAAATGGATTTTTACAGTTTACATTGTTTACTACTGTTTACTACCACAAATATGTTTGTCTATAGTGTGTACTAGTTACATTAACTGAATTTTGTGTACATTATAATGTTCCATTTTTTTACCATGTGACATGCATTTGAATCGTATAATTTTTGACTTGTATCAATGTTATTGCACTGATTTATATTATTTTTTTAACAACAAAAAAAAAAACACTTTCATTGGTCGCTTCCTCATTATCATATGATGGATTTGGTGGGAAAAAAAATAACATGACATGACAGAATGGTGAATCTTGAGTTCCTGTTTGACAACAATGAGGGAAATGGATATGTTTAATGACTGAAAATAAACTTTAACTGGTCCTATACATCTGCTATTGTGTGTTGACTGATTACTGCAGTGAGTGGATGGAACAAATGGTTAGAACTAGGGCTGTCAAAATTAACGGGTTAACGCGGATTAATCCATCTTCATGATTAATCTGATTAAAATTTTTAATGCAATTATCCCATCTGCAGCGCAGAATGATTCAAAATCACTGAAATGTCTCTGTCAACCCATTTCGGGCAGTTTTAGTGTATTCCATTTCCCCTCGGAACTCGTATTCCGAGTCGGATTCCGGAGTTGTGAAGCCGGAAGTGACGACATGCGCTCCCGTTTCTCTGAGATCCGAGAAATATCTCGGAGCAGCACAGAAGATCCAAAACAAAGTTCAGAATCCAAGATGGCTGCGCCCTTTATCAACAGTAGTTTTATACTGTTTATGCAATACTTCTCATCTGTGGCTCATTAAATCGGTCGCACACGCTAAACCGTCCAACTTATCTGTGGACGTGTTGCTACGGTGTTTTATACGTAAAGCACCGCGCGTAATGTGTTATCAACTGATATTGCTAACAATGGCAATTAACTGGGCTAGAATTGGACTTCATTATTAGTTGGGTTATTTGTTGGATTTACGGTAGTTCGTGCTAATTGTAAGCAAACGAAGATAAAGGCCATTTAAACTGAGGTACCTTAAGTCCGAAAAGTTGTCCGGCTAAGCAAAAAATCTTTTGATATGGGTCCATGGTATTGCACTTCTGTGGCAGATGGAATGCATCCGACTCATGTTCAAGATGTTCAATAAACATGTTAAGTGCATATATATTCCCTTTTTTCTTGAGTCTGTTTGCTCATGCAAAATTAAATGTGATTAATATAGATTAAAAATGAATGATATTTAATTGTGATTAATCGAAATTAATCCACAGGAACTCTGTGATTAATCTGCTTAAAATTTTTTATCATTTGACAGCACTAATTAGAACATAACTGGACCAGACAGAACCTGGTATATCTCAATTGGAGTATTTAAATTCTCTCTGGCCATATATGTGTACTTGCGTGATAATTTCTGGCTCATTCTTACATTCACAACTTCTACCAAAGGACTGTTTTCCCTGAAGAAAAGAAATCTGAGTGGCTGAAGGCATGTTTACACCTTTTCCAATCTTAGTTATCGCAGGGATCGTTACTGCTTGACTAAGCATTAGATGTGATCTGAGAGATTTTAAGCATGGTGTGATTGGTGATTCTAGCATCTCAAACAGCCACCCATGTGGGATTTTTACGTACCACATAGTCTAGAAATAAGATATCAGTGCGATAGACAAAACATTCAGTCACTGGCATTTGTGTCACAGAAAACACCTTGTTAAGAGACATTAGGAGTGGAATGGCCAGACTCAACGCTTACGGGAAAGCCCTTGGTCCAAGAATTAAATATTTGTGGTTTGCAGAAAGGCATCTCCGAATGCATTGCTTGTCTCACTTAAAGTGATTCTGAAGGCAAAAGTGAGTCCTATGTGGTACTATGTAGGGCTTCCTAATAAAGTGGCCAGTTTAAGTTTACGTAGATACGTGGGGTAGACCAGATGACAGACCACATGAATGAGGAATTTAACTTTGAAGCCAAATCAAAATTACAGCAGCTACATAGGTGAGTCATATTTGAGCGGATGCCAATTAGCAGTAGGACGCGCCTATAAAAGTGGTCTGACAGCAGTTTCGTGAATTTCAAAGCGAAGCAAGGCGACTAACAGGTAACCAAATTGCAGCTTCTTTGGTTGCAAAACGCACTGTTATTTTAATGTTTCAAGGGGTGCAGCCACGAAAATCATGATAGCGAATGTCAAAAACATTTGGCAAAGAGGAATGGTGGTCACAAGTCGAAGCTCACGAACTGGGTTGGACTGACAGTAACAGGACATTTGCTAAACACCACAAAAATGACCACACAACTAAATCAGCATCTGCGGTTAGATCAACACAAAAAAGTGTTTGTCGCACGCTTTGCAAATCTGGAATTTATGGCAAGTTTATCATTTGGAAACCAATTGTATCTCAAGGCCATTGCTCAAAGACACATTGGAGCACAAATCTTGGACAATGTTTCAGGATAATAATGCCCCATATACAGTGCTAAATAAATAAAATAATGTTTTCATGAACACCAACATGAAACCAAATGTATCATCCCTGGAAGTCAGACTAAAGCTGTTCTGAAGATCCTACTCATTATTAGGCCCTTGATTTTGATATTGAGAGGCATATCTGTTACTTTGTTCAGTATACTTTCGTGTAAGTGGCCGCGTCATAGTTGACTCTATATGGGGACCATATGTTGCCACAGCATAAAGCTGACCTTTGTTCAGCAATCATTTCAACCCCTCCAAATAATTCCTCCTTTGCCATTAATTTTGCTACCAGGTTTCCAAGGCACATGTGGCCCTATTTGTGGGGCCTCTGTTATAACTGGCTCTTTGTGGCACATCCAGGGTGCCTGGAAACCCAATGAAGAGGCATTGAGGGGATGTCGAAAAAACAAATGGGTATTTCTGGCTTCAGGAATAGCCAGGGGATACTGGTCTTCTAGAATAGCTTGGGTGTACAGCTATCTTTTATGTTGTCTGATAGGTGACAAATATAGAGCCTAACTAATGCTGTCATCAATCTTTTTCCTTACACTTTTCTATTTGTTTCCCTATTCACCCTTTGTCCTTTTTAACAATGGTGAAAAAAACCACAACAGAGTTCAAAAGCTTCCCATAAAGAAGAGAAGTCATTTCACTTGTTCATTCAAAAAAAAAAAAGTGATTGACTTACAAACCCAAAAAGCCAGTGCACCTCATAAGATTGTAACAACATGATCGATTTGGCCCTACAGCAGCAATATACACAAATGGTCCACATAATTAATTGTGTTGGATGATGCTGAAGAAATGCCACATATGGAATAATACCAGACAAATGTTAAGGTGAGGAATCAACAGCAGATACAGAGATAACGTGTAGCGGCAGCCAGGCTGGGGACAGAACCTGCCGCAGCAAACTCCTCAGGCTGTTTTTGAAAGTTGCTGGCCTCCTGATCAATGAGACAACATTTGGTATTACCTTAGCGAGCCGTATGACAACAGAGGAGCTTTGCACAGATTTATTAGGCGAACATGGAGGAATTTAATGGCTGTTTCATTTACATGACACTGCATAATACAGAACTGTGGAAAAAAACTTCTAGTCACTAAATAAGGGTCCACCTCCTTTGTTCATTAACCCCATTGTTTAAAACTTTGATTGATCGTGATTGTTTAAAACACTTGTTCAATAATGATGTGGCGCTCTAAATTGTGCTTGTTTATTTATTATTATGACTTATATGAAGATGACATCACATTTTATGAGCCATTCATGCAGAAATCCAGTTAATTCCAAAGAGTTAACAATCCCTTTCTCACGATTATAACTGTTATAATACAGTTCTAGTCGTGAAGATCGACGGTAAGGGAATATGCTTTCCAATTCATTCGTATATGCATTGTGCTGGAGAAAATACGCTTACAAAAACGTGAGTTTTTGCTGCTTTCTTACTTTGAACGCCTGAGTCAGGATCATCTTAGGTTAATTGGAACCATTATAACACAATCAAAAGCATCTGTGTAAGTGTGCACAGGGGGATTTCACATTTTTAACATTAATTATAAACCACCTATAAGCACACTTTCTGGGCCACTACTGGGTGCTGTGTTGTAAAACATATCACTATATCTATTGTTTTTACCTCTTATTTCTGTTCTCACTACAACAAAAGAGAAAAGAATAGTCTATACAAGAGTCTATTCAGACTCAGCACACAAAGAAACAGCTACAATCCCCTGCATGGATGCTGTGCAAACACTTGTTATTCATTAACACCTTGGATAGCCTACATACATGCTGTGGGTTGGGCGTTAAGTGCAACTTGCCAACTGAATCTCGAAAACAACGTCTTATTAACTGCAAATTGGCATGGAGGTCCCTTTACTTCCAATGATGTATGCATTGTATTCAAACAAGCTCGAATAGCTTTCATTATGTGTGTCAAGAAAACCTAAACGTTAAGCAAAGATTTGCAGGTACAGGTCAACACAAATGTCTGCAGTGTTTTATATATTGTTTATTTATAAAGTAGCTACCATATTTAATATGGAAACAAATTAACTATATAATTACAAATGATGACCACATTCACCTTAAACAAATGCTTTAGCGTTTAGCTTCACAACAGTTCTTTTGTGTTGTGGGTTACTAGGTAATGCTTGTTCCGTGCAAGTTGGTTTGTTGTGCTATTGATCTGATACAGACAATTACTTTGTGTCTCCTAAAGGTCATTTCTTTTGTATTTGGCAACACAAATCAGATGTCCCCATGAACGACCACAGTTTAGGGATAAACGCTAACGCCAGTTAGCATTGTCTGGGCGGCAGCATCGGAGAGCAGAAGGCGGCTCCGGAGGGGTGTGGGGGCTTGTTGTCTCTGAGCGTCGGAGAACAACAGAAGGCAGCTCCACTGGGCGCGTGTCACGGGTGGTCTCCGGGCCGCCGCTCCAGCCGCCACTGGGCTCGCTATCTCAGCCGGCACCCGGCTGTTGGTTTTATGCTGGCGCGGCTCGACTCGCTCGTCAAATAAATAAATAAATGCGCCCTCTGCAGAACGAGTTTCAGATTCAGAAGATACCTGGGAAAAAAAACAAACGGTTGCCAGGCAGTAGCTTGGGCTGAATCAAAACACAAGGTTACAGAAACTGCCATGACAATTACGGCTTCAGTGAGCTTCGCCCGTGGTCTTGTTTTATTTTTGGACTGATTTGTGGAATTTGGATTCTTCTCTATAAAATATGTAAAAAAAAAATAAAAATTCATGGACAAAAACATGTCTGTGCTGTAGAAAAGTGTCCATTAAAGTTTATATGTACAGTAGTCTGACTCCTGAGCCAATGCTTGAACCCTGCTGGTTTTTCTATAGGACATGCGCAATTGTGTAATGCAGTTTTCTTTCCTAGCAATGGAGCA